ACACATAAATTTTATTTATTTAACAACAAATTTATAGCAGAAATAATAAAAATCAAATAAAATTAAATTTAGTATGATGACAAAATTAATTTTAAATATTGAAAATTTATCAAATATTGAATAACAAATGTATATATACGCGAATGAACTCAAAACCTTGATGTATTTTAAAATAAAATAATCACAATTTGATATTTGTGTAGTCAAACTGCTGCTTTTTCACTTGTGCGTATAGAAAACGAAAATTAAATCATAAATTAATTATTTTAGTCATTTTGATAGAGAAAAAAAAAACAAAAAGAAAAATTTACATAATTTTTGATGTTATTCAAAATTGGTGACGATTTTTCATCTTTTTTAGCAGGAAACAAATGATTTTTTAACAATTTAATTAAAAAACGCAATGTGTTCAAACTATTTCGAGTAAATGTAGTCCAATTTTATTCCACAAATTGCTTACATATTTTCAATTTTTATTTATTCTTTTTTTTTTTGTAAATTATTGGAAAATTATGACTCAGCATGATTTTTGGGTATAGGTAACATATTTTTGTTGGTTTGTATAAGACAAGAAAAATTAACTCTTTAATGACAATTAATTAAATTATCGTTAAAAATTTTTGAAAATTAATGAATTTTACAACCTTTTTATAGGCAGGCATTGATTGCATTAAAACAAGCTCATATAATATTGTCGTCAATTCACATTTTCCTTAAAAGTTCCGACAATTATCAGCAAATATAAAACGAATGGTAAACAACGCTTAACATTAAAGACAATTCAATATGCTGAGCTGATTGTTTTGTGTATTTAAAAAAAACATTACAAGTTCTAGAACATAAAATTATTTTTACAAAAAAAATTACACAAGATAGTGAAAATGTATTTTTTTCAATTTCAATTGAATTAAATAAAATCCTACCTTATACCTTTTATATCTATAAGAAGAAGTTGGCTCTCAGGTTTGCTTCAAAGGACCGAACTTTCCAAACTTTTCTAGAAAAGTTTTATTTCTTTTGTTTCTGTTTATGAAACAAAACTTAAATATAAAATTTAAAGGGAAATTCATTATTTTCTTCTAAATATCTAAACTATAGTTTAAAATTCGTAAACGTAAGTTTATTGATTTGTTGTAGAAAATAAGCAGTTTAGGTACAAATATTTTGCATTTACATACAAGAGCGCACACGATGGAAAAAGTCTTGCTTAAAATAAGTTTCTCACTATTTGGAAAAAGCGCTTTTCGTTGAAATAAATTTCCGTATAGTCGTAAAATTATTAAACTAAAATTGACGAGCACCAGCAAATAAATTTGCAATATATTAATACTCGTATGAATTAGAGTATAACAGGATAACTATTTCAAAGAGCTACGCGGCACAAACTACATCAGACTTGATACGTAATAGATTGTTAAATACTTGTATTTATATATATAATGTAATAAAAGATGTGATAAAATTTAAGAGCTTTAGGAATAACGCGTAGCGTAATACAGCAAAATAAATATATATTGTACCTGCAGTAGCATAAGCCTTATTAAATGTTGTTACAAATTTAGAAATTTTAATTAAAGACTAAAGGAAAATGAAGTTCTTTTTGGGTTTAATATATTCCTAGTAAAGCAATAAAAAAATATAATTCTAAAAAAAATTCATTCTGATATTTTTTCTATCAAAAATAAAATCCTGATATTCTCCTAAAAAAATTTCCCATATGACTGAAGACTTGAATTCTTCTTTTAATACTAGTTCGTGGAATTGTTGTTTTATTTTCCTTAGACTTTAATACAATTGTGTAAGGGATTTCTTTAGATGTTGCTCTTAGAATTTTATATTACGGAATATTTCTTGATCTTTTTTTATATATCCTTTTTTTTTTATTTTTTCACATTTTCTCTGTAGTAAATGTTTATTTTTCTTTACAATTTCAACAGACTTTGTTTACATGGATGTATACGCGATAAAATCAATTAAATTAAGCTTCATATTGTCTTTTTTAATGGTTTAAATAGTTCAAAGCAAGTTCAAAGATTACTTTTATTATAACTCTTCAAGATTTTATTTTAACGTTTTAGTATGGCCTATAATTACCTGTAAAGCTTTTAAAAATGATTTTCGCATATATTTAATAAGAATATTGACCTTCATTGGGCATTCAACTTTTGGATTAATTAATTTTTGTAAAATACGCATACGAAAATTTTAAACAATTTTTTTTAATTTTACAATAAAACAAATACAAACTTAAAAACAAATACAAAGTATCTTTTCCATTAGCTTTTTTAATTCAATTATAAGATTTTTTTTCGATAGAACAAAATATTATCCTCTATTTTTTTCCATTTTATTATAGACCTTCAAAATGATCGTGTTTTGATGTTAAACAGTAAATGCAAAATTCAAATTTAATTTTTTTTTGAAAATAAATATTTATTTTTTTTTATTCACAAATTATTAAGAATAACATCTAAATTTCACCCTGCTAAAAAATTTTAAAAATAATATTTTGAAAATAATCAAATTTTTTTTTTTATATTAAAAAATCCAGGAACTTTAGAGAATGAAAGGCAACAACAAATGAATAGTCTTCTCATATTTAATATAAAGCATTATACTCGTATGTAACAGTAAACATCTGATTATTTAAGTTTAAAAATACAACAACAGTACCTATGAGCAAAATTTTACGGAAAATGAAAAATCTGAAAAAAAATAAGAAGCACTATTCTTGAAATTCATAATAAGTTTATGAAATAAATATTACGATTTGTAAAAATGGCATGAAATGTAATGTTATCTGTAATAAATTTTGTTAACATGTTACATACAAGTTTTATAATGTTATGTTTTATTTAAAGATAGGTAATCATAGGATCATTGAGATCAGTAAATAAATTTTCTATATTCATTTTCGTATAGTGAGTATTTTTCAATACCCATAATTTGTTGCGGACACCAAATGTTAGCCATTTTTGGTATAATTCTAAAACAAACTTCGAGAATTTAATAAAATTAAAAATTAATGCTGTCATACACATTGGTGTAATCACCATAACCGCGATTGCTGAATTCATTTTCAAAAAAATTGCTCTGTTAGTTAACAGATTAAAACGAAATATTGCCTTTGTTTTTGAAACCGTACATAAAAACTAAAAAGTCAAAATGAAGTTTCCGATATAAGACAATTTTTATCAATAAAAGAAACTCTTTCCTTGTTTCTCATTGTTTCTTAGTATTTCATTTACTTCTTCAAGCATAAGTTGCTAGTAAGATAAGATAAATCTGATAATCTAATAATTTTATAAACTTGTCAAAATTTTAATAAAGTTTGTAAGATTAACGCTAATATAAAAGTTAGAAATAAATATAAAAGTTGAAATATTGGTGAATTCGCGGTATATCGTATTGAAACGAAACTGTTTAGAGTTGAATTGAAAGTGAACAAATATTCGTAGAAAATAAGATAACAAAAGGTTACCTTTCTTTGTTTATTTTAATGCTAGCTGAATCAAATTTTTGGAAGATTGAAAAAAAATTAAAAAAAAATTGTTAAAATTTTAATTTCTACATAAATATAAAAAGTATAACTGCACTGAAAATCAGATGAAACAGTGAATTCCAAATTAAGACTATACTTTACTTTCACTTTGACAATGACGAACATTTGACATTTATTTTACACCAGTAAGAAAATTCAACAGTGTTGAAATACAACAGTTGTTTGAATTGAAACACTAGTAATCAACTGCACAAATACATAACCATAAATAAATGATAATGATTTTATGTGTACCTGTATTTTCAAAGAATATATACCTGCAAAACAGAATATACTAATGTAAAATCCCTAGTAAATTATTACCGTTATATTATCTTTACACACAATCACAAATTATTATTACATGCACATTTTTGATGTATAAAGTTCCAAGTGATCTTGAAAGTGAAAAATAAATACATCAAAAGTTTATTATTGAAAAAAAAATGTTTTATTAATATTTAGCTGAAAATAATGAAAAATTATGTTAGTGTGCAAGTCCATACAAACAACAAAAAAACAGAAAACAAAAAAAAATCAGAAAGCAACCATAATAAAAGAACAACTAAAAAGGAAAATCATATTGAATAAAAAATTTATTTTTAGGACTCATTTTAGAGAACTCAAATTCAATAGATCATCAGTTTGAAAAAATTCTTCGTTGAGGATAGACCGCTTTTTAAGTTATAGTAAAAGATGTAAGATTCAAAAGAAAAGTATTTACACAAACATACATAAGTATTTAAAAAGTATTAAAAATTATTGCATTAATTATTCATGAGTTTCAATTAACTGAAGGAATCAAATTCAGCATAAAATAAGAAACTAAATTGAAAGGAAAAAAAAGAATTTTTTGTAAAATAAAATTAAAAAAAAAATAAAAATAATAAAAATAAAATAATAAGAAGATCAATTAAAATTTTCACAAAGCTTAAAGTTCAAAACTATAAGTAGGTGATCTGATTCTCCAAATTTCACTGTGGATAATTTTAGAAAAATCCTTGAAAAATTGAAATATAAAATTTTCAAATTATAAAAAATTATTTTCCAAAAATATTTTGAAATTATTTCGAATGATTTTGAAGATTTTCAATTAAAATTAAATAAAATAAATAAAATAAACTATAAAAATAAAAAGAAAACTGCAGAAATAATAAAAAAAAACAAGTTTTCATTTTATAATTTTAATAATTAAAATTTTGGAATTCATAGTGTAAATATCATATAGAATTTCATTCACATTCGATTGAAATATTAAAAAAGTGACAATTATTTAAAAAAGCAAAAACAATTACATAAAAAAAAATCATAAAGAAAAAATAAAAATTCTCCATAAAAACTATTTAAAAAAAAATTTAAATTTTTTGTAGAATTAATAAAAAAAAATTAAATACAAAAATTTATAGTGAGAACAAATTAATTTTAAACGGACTTTTTTCTACTTTTTTTTTAATTACAGCGAACGAGCCAGGATTACGATTAAATTAAAATTAACAAATTTAATTTCTAATTAATTAAGTTTTAAAAAGAAAAAACAAAAAACTAATCAATATGTTCAAAAGCCATTTGGATATGATTGGGAGGAATGAAACCCCCAGCAAAAAAGCAAAATTCTGGCAATCATATGTCAGATCCTTGAAAGGTAAGCTCAAAAATATTTTTAGAGAATAAGAAAAATAAGAAAAGAAAAAAGAAAAATTTTTTTTCCACTACAAAATCATTAAGAAAGAGACAGACATCATAAATCTATTTTATTATTGAATGAGAAGGAAAGAAAATACCGATGTGTTATGAATTTCATTATACAATTTATATTTGCACACATCATCAAAAATATAAAGAAGAATTAAAATAATTTTTAAAAATAGTTAATATTTATTTTGAAATTTGAGTTTTCATTTCAATTTTTGTTTATTTTTTCGGTTCATTTTTTCTTTTTCGAAATTTTTTTTTATAGTTATGAGAAGGCAAATAGAAAATCAAAAATTTGTTCTTTTTGTTTTTTTGGGAATCTTGCCAAATTTTGGGAAAAAGAAAATTATACATTTTTTTGGATTCTATTCAAAATATCAGTAATAGAAAATACAAAAAAAAAAAATATACCTATGCAAAATGAAAATTTTTTTTTTTCTGAAATGATTATCATGACTTTAAAAGATAAATTGATTTTAAAAATTTTTGAAAAAAATAAATTTAGAATAAAATAAAAATAAAATTAGACATGAATTGGAAAATATAAGAAAGCATTCTTTTATTATTAAATGGGCAAAGTTCATCGTTATATAAAAAACTTCGGCATATAATATGTAAAGATGATCTTTAATTTTGATCCATTCTTGAATAGGTTAAAGTCTTTTGATCAGATTTTGAATGTAGTTTAGCTTTAAAAAATGTTTATTCTGAATTTGTCACAGTGTCTTTATAGAATATAAGTCACACTTAGATTAAGCTTAAATTTTGTTTAATCTATTAACCTTATGACTGAGATGAATAACTAAACACATTTGAAAACTTCTTAACTGATCTATGATTATTTAATTTTAATTTATGTGTTCGATTCCTAAAATACAATCATTGAAATTGAAAACTTTTTCTGAAATATTTCATTTTGTTTTGCTGAAATTAAATATATTTATATTCAAGATTGTCAATAGAAATAAATTAAATAAATCATTAAATAATTTTTAAATTTTCCACCTTCTTTAAAAATAATAATCTTTAATTTATCTATTAATTATATCTGCAGATTTCCAAAATAGCTATTTTTTTTAGATCCCCTATGCCTGCAGATTTAGTATACAAAGAGTCATTTTCATATTAAAATATTAGATTTTAATACACCCTTCTCCTGTAAAAACCAAAATATAATTTTGTATTTATAAAAATTATAATGTCCTGGAACTAGCTATTTTTATATACGAGCAACATAAATTTTTTGCAAATATTTTCGCTGTCTGTCTTCTTTTTCAAATCTATTTTTAAAGAAAATATTAATGAATTATAAACACAGGCAATTTTGTGTGATATACATGTACATACACATGTACATATTTTATTTTGAATCGTAAATAATTTATACTTAAATATTTAAAAAAAAAGACCACTTGAAAAAATTATAAAAATTAATTTTTGAAATAAATGCGTACTGAAATTTGAGATGTTAAAGATATTGAAAGTTGGACAAACTAAATCTTAATTGAGTTTAAAATTAGAAATGGAGTTACCTTTTTTGAAAACTATACAAATATGTTAGAAATTTTGTAGTTGGTTCTAAAGTAAGAAGCATTATGCAGCTATAAGGTTATTGAAAATCAATAAGAATAATAAACAATTGCAAATATTATTTTTATTTTAAAAAGAAAATATACCCAAATTTTCAATTTATTTAATTGTAAGAGCCGAAATAAAATGTGGAAAACTATTTTACATAATTATGACCAAATTCTTTCTCATCTCATTCAATATTATTAAATAATTAACAGATAATTAAGTGAACTGTTGAATAAACAACATTTAGTTTTATTCAACATTTAGTTTAGTATATTCAACCAAAAACTCATTCTACAATATTATAATAATGCATCATATTTATATTTATACACTTCAGGATCAGAAGATATCCGTGCTCATGAAGCTCCAAAACCATACAGACCATTGAGCTCTTATGATTCTCTTCCATCACACTTAAGAAGCATCTATGATGAAGCAAGTGCTCCAAATGAAAGAATCCAAAGTACTGGCTATAGATATCTTCCAGTTCATAGAGAAACTTATGGCTATTCCCCAAGACCAATCTATGATCATCATTATAGCAGAACTAGTAAGTATTCAATGAATTCATTAATATTAAAATATCGTTTATAATTTAATAAAACCATAATTAAATTGGAAAAAGAAATAATTAATCCAAACGAAAATTCCATATAATTTAATCGGCTTTTAAAATTAATCAATATAGATTTCAATCATTAACGTTTTATATAGCAACATGCTTATATAGATTTTCTGACTTTCTGATGCCAGCTATTAAAAATTTTCATTATTACATACCGATATACATACCATTAAGTAAAAATAAATAATTTTTACATTTATACTGATTCATAATGATTCATTATTATTAAAGAATTTTCTACAGTTTTGTTTATAAAACAAAATAAAATAACAAAAAGAAAAATTAAAAGTATTTTCATTTCGCTTAGGGAAAAATAATTACAATTTCCAAGAATTTTAAATGTTTCTGATATAAAATTACATTAAACAAAAATTTTAATTGGATTTCAAGAAGTTTTTACGAATTCAATAAATAAACTGGCTGTTCTGTTCATTTAACGTGTTAGTCATTTCGTAATTGAAATTTTTGCGGCTATAACTAAATTTTCATAATACTTTATCAAAGATATGCAGAAATGTTATGCTTAATCTTGATCAGGTCATGTGAAACTAAATATAAAGAATAATTGTCACATTTTTAGAGTTAAATGCGGTTAATAAAGCCATTTTAACGAAACATTTTCCGAAGCGCAAATAATTTTTAACCCTTTACAGCTCACGTTTAATTTTTATTTTAGAGTTACCTTCAAAATTTTAAATGAATTGTAAAAATCCGATATTGATAATTAAATTTCAATTTAGCGAAATATTTAAAAATTATATAACGATAATCTTAATTACGTCATTTTCCAAACAAAAAATTGTAAAATTTTTTTTTATAATTTCAATGTGTTTTAATAATCATGAAAATATTGAATATCTTTTGCCAAATTTAAATTCCCAAAAATAAATTTTTCATAAGAAAATTTTAAAATTTTTCAAAAATAGAAAATAAAAAAAAAGCTAAAAGAAGAATGAAGGAAAATTATGTCGGTTTTCGCCATGTATTTAAAATTTTTGTATTAAGTGTACACAGAAAACGTGTTATTATGAAAATATACAGAATTTTTTTTAATTATTTATATAAATGTAGCATATATTTCATGCACACATTTGCAAAGTTGTTAGCGACAGAAACTGTAATGAAATATTATGTTCCTAGAACTTTATTATGTTCGGATGATTTTCCGTCTCTGACATAGCTAGTCAGTTGGGTGCTATAACTTTTTATCATAATTATTTTTTTTTTGTATTTCATATACTTACATTCAGGCCAGTACGGTACTATTTTATAAATTTAAATTCACGTTACAAAACAAAACATATGTATGAATATATGTATGTATACGCACACTTAAGGTACATCCACATATGTATATATACAAATATTATAGTTTTCTAAAAAAAAAAATTAACAACAGATTTAAAAATATTTTCAAGAATAAAAAATTCAAAAAGAAAACAAATCAAATTTAATTTTACAAAACAGAAAAATTTCAAATTTTCTTGCTCTCACATTAGAACATTGGGGAGGCGCCATTACCAATGTTATAAAAATATTTAGGTTAGCAAAAATAAAAAAAAAAAAAATTAAAAAATTAAAAAAAATCTTTTTTTTTTAATTTATTTTATAGTAAAAATGTGAAAATAACGAAGAAAGTATGAGGAATTTGGGCTAAGGTTGATTGATAGAAAATCAAAAAATATAAAAAAAACAGAACAACCAACTCCCGAATAGAAGAGATAAGAAATTGAATGAAAAATTATTTCTAAACCCAATTTCGTTTTACTTCTACAAAACAATAAAAAAATAAATAGGAAGCAAATTACTGTAGTTCCTTTTTTCTTACCATTCAGGTTACACATGCTTGTATTTTGAACATCTGTAAAGAAAATTTGAAAATATTATTTTTCTTGTTATCGATTTCGAAATTGCAAATTAGTTTTTAATTAAATTATTTAAAAGATAACAGTAATGATTATTGTTTTTACAATTTACAAACAACATTCCAATTGAATAGCTATGTATGTATGTAGGTACACTTGACTTAAGTATATATTTTTTAATCGAAATTACAAATCCGAGGTCTAAATTATAATAAAGCCAGTTTTTACGGGTTTCCGTAAAACCGACCGAAAAACCTTACATGCCCCAAAATAACAAGAGTGTATAATATTTCTTCAAAAATAATTAAGTGACGTATGTTTTCACATTTCTCACGGAAAGCTTTTGCCGACCTCCGTACATATATCTCTTGAATATTGTTCGTGTCGTTTATCGAATACAAGTTAACCGATGTGGATTAATGAAATACGAGCTATATTCTTAAATTGCTAAAGAAAAATGTACTACTTTACAAACTTTTAAATGACATAATTACTTCATTTTGAAAATAATAATTAATTTACGTATATTATTTTCTCTCAAACATTCCCCAACAATCCATGGAAGATGATTTGATTTTAAGGGAAGGCAATCAAATGAAAATACTTTTAATTATAATTCAGCATGCTTTTTTTACTTCTCAAACACTTTAAATGAAAATATGTATATACATAATCTTTAAGATTGTATGTATTACTAAATGTATTACTAAATTACTAAAAACATTTAATATTATAAAATTTTTATATTTTCATTTCTTTTATTCATTACAGAATAAATCTTTAATAAAATCGTTGCATCGATAACATTATTTAAAATACAATATAGTTGTTTTTAATTACAATTGAAATTTTCAAATAATTTATAAAAAAAAATCGAAAATATCATATTAATTAATAAAACAAAATGTAAAAATTAAAAAAAAATACAAAATTTAGAAATGCTTTTTTATGTTTACAAAATTAATTTTATAGGAATTAAATTTTAATTAAAATATTCTTTTTTATATGGCAAGCCCAAGCATATATAAAAGGCATATAGTAGAAATTTTTGCTTTTAAAATAGAACCATTATTATCATAACACTGAAAAAACTAATATAAAAATACTAAAGAATCCAATCACTAGAGATAAAATACATTAGGCTAACAAAACTGACATTATATAACATAAAGAAAAATTCATACTCTTAAAAATCTAAATAACTAATATATACATACATACACACAAGCAATGTGGTTAAAACCGAAAATTAGAAAAAAAACGTGGGATGCATTCATTAGCACATAAAGTGATTTATGCAGACAGCTGCTATATTTAAGGCAGAAAAAAAGAATAGAACTTTTGAGTACGTCAGTTTTAGGACTACATACATATAAGACTAAAGAAAGCATTAAAAAATGTGTTAAACCAATACACGAATCAGAACTCAACCAGCAGAAACGTTATTAAATTGTTATAAAATTGCATATCATGAAAAGTAAATATTTTTAGGATAAGAGTTTCAAAAAAGAGAAGAGATTAATATTGAATAACTTGAAAAACGTTGTTTAAAATTTGTGGAAAGGGTGTAAAAATAGGAAAAAAAATCTAAGAAAAGCTGAATCTACGATGGTTAGCATACTCGTATTATATTTTCCTCCCTTTATAAATGCCACATTAAACCTAGGCTATATCTCTATCGAAAGATTCTAGTCTAAAGAAAATAATAAATCGAAAAATTAAAATTTGAAAAATAAATTTATACTTAAAAACGACGATTATATTAGGGACTTAAATTATAGTGTTAAAGTATATTATGCAAAGCATTGATTGATAAACTTAACTATCGGACACTAGAGATTATTCAACAAAGTTTTTGGGTAAAAAGAAAAATGCCACTATATTGAAAAAGGTATAATTTGTCTTTACTATTTTTAATGATTTGACCATCCTTTTTTACTTTGATTTGATGTTTAAAAAAAATAAATAAATAAATAAATCAAAAATTCTGTATATATACAATTAAAGTGTGATCATTGAGATTGTTGTTGGAGGATTTTAAAAGACCTAAAATTTCCTTGCACTTTTTTTTTATATAGAAACTAATTATTAATCACATACAAAAATGTAGTTTTTCAGTTTCAAAATAAATTTTTTGAAATTCTATGAATAATAATATGAAAATAATTTTTGCAAACTTTTTAAATTTGTACATAACATATAAGAAACATGCAATACGAATACTATTTTAGTTATATAAACAAATTGAAATTCTGTATAGTGAGGAAATTTTAGAAAATAAATGTTTTCTCTATATATAAACATATATATATATGTACACATGTATGGAAGAAGTAGCAAGTATAAAAGAAAATTTTGAAAAAGTTTCAATAAAAATCATATGATTTTGTACATTTTGTAATTGCATAATTGTAATGTGTTTCAACCATAAATTATTGGTAGAAGAGAAAAAAGATACTGTTATTGTTAAAGTATACATTGCCCAACATTGTACAAACCTACGAAATTTTGTGTACAATAATATACATTATACTTATATCTATTTGAATCAAAATATTTAAATAGCGTTCACTTTATGAACATAAATTTTGTTTTTACATTTTATGTGAAGTAGGCTACATAATAACATGCTAATGGCATAAAAATTATGGCAAACAGTCATTAGTCATCAATAGTTTAATTCATATTTTTTTATAACATTCTAAAAGCTAAACATTTCATAGCTTAATAAGCATAAAATAACATTTTCCTCATTTAGCAAAAATATTAATTGCTGTAAGTAATTTAAGCTAACATTCAGGAAATAACATTCATACTTAACTTTTTAAACATAATTTAATCATAACAACTGTTAAGAAAGTTATTAAGCAAATGGTACATGCTTTATAAATTTCTTATTTATTTTGCTTTTTGCTGTAAATGTCAAAAAATTTTTTATTATCCATACTCGTAGAACATAATTTTGGCTCATGTGATTATTCTGTATTTTAAAAAATCTTTACAATTATAAGACGTTATGTTAAATAAAAAATTTAATTAATTTTTTGTGTATATATTAATTAATTTCAGTTCCAGCCAACTATGATGTTGAACGTGCTTGGAATGAACATTTAAAACGTATGCAAGAAATTGAACGCAGGTAATTATTATGATTTCAATTATGTTGTCTTTGTAAATTTAAGGGCTGAAATACATTTAAATTCTGTATACATTGATCATGTAAAATGCTAGGTCATATTTTGCCATAGTCTCCAAAATAACAAAGTTACCATCTTCTGTCTTAAATTTTAAAATAATTTCCCGATTAATATTCTACAGTATGGGTGCTAATCTTAAAACTACAATATATATCTTACAGGCTGGTTTTTGCCCATTTTGGAATATTGTAATAATCTCTTAAATTGTTTTCTGCCTCGAATTTAAATATTTAATATTTATCTTGATACCAGTCTGTTATATTTTTCTTGAATTAAAATTAGAATTACTGAAAACTCAAAAAACGTAAATTAATTTCAGTGTATTTAATATTTATTTGAATGATAATTAATTTGAACTAGCTATTTTAACATAATATTAAAATTAGGACTCTCAAGAAGATTTCAATTAAAAAAAAGTTCTAATTTGGATTTTACAATAAAATTTTGCAGATACAAATTGCATTTATGAAATAGCAATCTAAATTTCAAATTACTATTTAGGTTATATTTGTTTTTAATTATATTAAAAACACCTTATATTTGGAGTTTTATGTTTTAAATTTATTTATTTTTTTTGAAATTACAAATTGTTATAATTAAACTTTTCATTATTAATAATTTTCTTAATTTTGTTTTATTTTTTTTTGAACAGATATCCATCTCGTTATGGTCTTTACTTGAGAGACAAACCAAGCCCATTAGTTCCACTTGAATATGAACCAGAAGATAAACCTCTCCTCTCCGGTAAGGAACGCAAATAAATATTAAGTTTCAAGAACACTAATTTTTAATTTCAATACTATGAACAACGAAAATAAAATTATAATAAAATTTAGAAACAAAAAACAAATAATAATGAAACATAAAATAAATATCTAAATAAACAAATAAATACAATATCGAAAACAAATTTTAAACCAACAAGAAATATTAACATTATTCTGAAAAATAAAAAATATACAAAAATATTATTATGAGAATACCATAAAACATTATGTAAAAATTAAAAATATATGAAAATAAAAAAATTTTGAAAATTATTTAGCGGTCACACAACATATTTAACATTATAAAATTTTTTCCTCAAAACAAAACGAAAACAACAACAACGACAATATTCAGATCTCAAATGTATTGAGTCTCTTTGAGATAAGCAAAGAATTTTTTTAAACCATTTTTTTTTGAATTTTTTTTTTTTTAACATTTAAAAATTAAAAATATTTAAGAACATATTCAAAAAATTCAAATAGAACATTTGATTACATTCAAGATCATGCTAGAATTAAGGCTTGATGTAAATCAAAATATAAACCGAATGCTATAATCTTGCATTGAACTCTTTATTGAGAAGAGAAGTGAATTTATTGTTGCGATATATTGCTTATAATTGTAAATATGTATGTAGTTCCATTTATGCATCTTCGACGAATTTTAAATAATTTTGGATGTGTTTTATGTGAGAGAACAAAATAAAATTCAACATCGGGATCGATCAATAAAAGACATTTTGTTTCGATTATATTTTGAAATTGTAGCAATATGTTGCTCAAAACTGTTTTATTCAACATCTCAACAAAATATGCATACATTCATTTAAAATATTCAAACATTTATGAAACATATTGTTTATAAACATTGTTGGTTAACTGAGTTTAAATTTTTTTAAACCTTATTAAGTATATTTTAATAATTCATAATTCATATAAAAAAAAAATATTTTAATATTTCAACATTTCAATTTGAAAACTTTGAATTATTTGTTTTTTTTTTTAATTGTTACATATTATATACATATTAAATACATAATTATATTGATTTGACTTGGAAACAACAAATACATAATATAACAAACACAATTTAAAAATTCGTTAAATATAAGCTTTAACATTTTAACTATTTACTTTATTTAATTATTTATTTTTAAATTTTTAATTTACTATATATTTAAATATTATAAATATTTATAAAATTTATTTTCATTCTCTAAATTTTCCATTCTATGAGCTTGCATTATTCTCATTATTTGATTTCATTTCAATTATACATTTTGTACATACATATACATGTATATTTTTTTTTTTCAATTTATCATTAAAAATATATACGTGTATTGTAAACATTTACTTTTTATACATTCTATCCTACATAAAATTCATAAAAGAGTTCTGAAATTCACAATTTTATTTGTAAATTTTATAACTAACTTTTAATAATAATATGAATTCTTCAACTAACAATTCATGATTTATTGGGTAGGGTACATGCTATAATTATTTATAACGTTACATGAGAAATTTTATGTTGATATCACTAACTTATTTTATAGAATTTAACGAAAAATAATTTTTGGAGTCAGTTCCATGAAATTTTCTTAGTTTTATCATTTTTCATGTATTAAAACTATGTTATAAATTTGTATCAAACATTTGATCAAATATTCGGGAAATGCAAGTTTTACGATTTGATACCATATGTTAAGAATTAAAAAATCATGTTTTTTATAAATTTCACAATCAGGTATCATTAATTTTTATAAATATATAAAACAAAAACATTAAAAATAATTAACAAATATTCAATTTGTATTTTATGTATGTAAATCCTTTATTCATTTCTGGCATGTGTATTGTAAAAATTAACGATAAATATCATTCGTTACCAAAAAGGAAAAGAAAAATTTATATACATGTATATATATAAATGTATATATGGAAGTATATATTTATATATATATATGATAAAAAGTGTAAAAATAGCAAAATTCGATTAAAAAATTTATTAAAACAAAATAATTTGTTTTTATTTAAAAAAAAATCTCAAATTCATAAATCAATTTCTTCATACTCGTAACCTAAACCCATTGCCATCTATAATTGGTTTCTTATAAATGGTTTTTGTTTTTGATCATCAGAGAATAGATATAAAAAATTTAAAATATTAAAATTACCAAACTGAGTACATTTGAGGGCACGCATATTGATATGCATGTATTTATGGTTATAGGTACACCCAATTCCTACCGCATGCATTTTATTGTTTAAGTTGAATGCGCTCATAAAATAATAACATAAATAACGTATAATGATTATTTTCACTACATTTTCATTTTATTAAATGCCAAAAAATTGAGTTACAAGCAATTGACTCGAATTGTTCGTATGTTTAATTATTCGCCGACAGTATTTCATCATCGAAACGAAAATGTTATTCTGATCGACCGATTAAACTGTAGGTGAATACAACCAAAACATTTTGTTTAACTATATATTTGATCTATTTCTGATTATTTCCTATTACCAAGTCCAATAGTTTCTAAACTATAAATAATATTCTGTTAATTACAAACTAAAAACGCTAACATGCATTAGAGGTATTGGAGTTCTTCTAAATAAGTGAATATGACACGCTCGTATATTGAAACTCTAAAGTGTTTTTTTTGCAACTCTTAAAAGTCTGTATAATTAATTGTTTTTATTATTCAAATAAATGCTTTACAATAACGATTCTAAATGTAATATCAAAACGTTCGTGCTGGCGAAAGGAAGGAAATACCTCCTCGAGCTTTAATATACTTAAAATTTGAATGAAAGGATTCATTTAATTTGAAATCTACACGGAGCGTCAAAATAAGTTGGAAGGAACAAACGAAATATAGAATAAATCTGTATTAGATTTTTCAAAACTAAATAAATAGACTTTTAGAATTATTTTCGAAACGCGTAATAATAATTCAAATATAAAGAGCTCATTATAGGAAATTTGATAAGTAAGTTTTAATTTTACATTAGCAACATTATTTAATTTAATATTATATAAAATAGACAATTAAAATGGTAGTGATCGCTTGTCTGTGTCGGTCTGTGTTTTCTAATTTCCTGCAATCAATGTATTCTTATAAAAAATATCTTGTAATTGTTTTAAACTAAATTTATTAATAAATCTCATTACATCATCAAATTCATATCATATATTCACATTCATAAAATTTATATAATATTTTAAATTAATAATTTTTTAATATTTTTTTTTAAGTTTTTGCTTATTTGCTTTTACATAACTTTACTAAAATAAATTTTGCAAATATTTTTTCTTTCATTTTTATTATTTTTTTCTGCATCTATACTTATACAAACAAAATGTGTCACAGCATTGAGGAAGATGTTACGAAAGACAGAACATCTGATAAAATATTATGATAGCATCTAGCATTACAAATTATTGTAATATTTTTAAAATAAATTTTAAACCGTTTATGCATTTGCTTTTATGACTTAAGCTGATTTTTATGATGATAAACAAAAGATAAAGTTAAACTAAAGTATTGAATAAGTATATTTTTTTTTAACTAAAACAAGCTATGCTTAAGGATTTGGTTGCATATTACGAAAGAACAAAAAAATAATTAAAAGACGGTAAGATTGCTTAAGTGTATGTGATGTGAAGAAATAAATTTGGTCTATTATATATGGTCCTTTATGTACATAAATTAATGTAAAAAAAATTGATTTTTTCATAAATCATAAATAATTCTTGTTTAATCCTAAACTGTTGGGAGAAATTTAAAAAATCGATAATTAAAGTTGTGTCATATTTTAATAATAAATCATTCAGTGTGCGACTGTTTGGCAAGACTATACAACAACAGTAAAATATGATGCCTATTACAAAGTTCAGTGCTGCATTTTTATCGGGGAAGTGAAATTAAAAATTTCACAATTAGAAATTTTTTTGCCAAATCTTTTCTTTTAAGTTTAACGCACCAATAAATTCGAAATTGGTCATTTGTTTGAAATCGACAATGCTGTTTGAAATTTCCTACTTTCTTACTTCTATCAGAAAAATTGTTTAAATATTTCGGGATCAAATCGTATACCTTTAATTACACTTTCACCTTCACATAGAATTTTTACCCCAACCCGAAATAAAAAAATCCTAATAAAAATTTATGCAAATTTTAGATTTATAGTAATTATTGAAAATTTGTTAAGAATTTATACGTTTCACATTATTGAAACATGGTACAATTCACGCTTTATAATATCACAACAATTTAGCATAAAAATTATTGTATTGCCGACGGAAAATAGTGTTAATTCCCAATTTTTTGCTAAAATAAAGGAATACATATATTTTTAATTGAATTAAGTCACTATATGATTGATCATTTACAAAAAAAAACTAAAGCCTTCAAAACTCTGTAGATCCTTTTGACAATTTTTTTGACAACTCTTAATTTTTTAAACTTATTCTTTTTTACTTCTTTTTTTGTTGAATTTTAAAATGTTTTTAGAAGCGCTTTTTACCTTCCGCCTCTGCCTCAATAAAATATTTTATATTTATTTAATTTTAATTTTATTCTACAAATAAAAATATTTTAGCTTACAATAATCCATTTTTAGAGAATAACGAATCCAATAAGTTAAAAACAATTTCCATCCATTAAAAGAAAAAAAATTGAAAATTATAAAAAATTATTTTGAATTTTATAAAAAATTTTAAATGAAAATCATAAGAAAATTAAAAATTATGCATGTGAATTTTAATATTTCTTTTTTTTTGCGTCATAATATGTACAAACATAAAATTTATATTTTTATGTTTTTTGTTTATAAATGTTTCATATTCATGAAATAATTGTTGGTTTTAAATTTATTCGTTTTTGATTAAATTCGAGAAAAATTCGCAAAACGAAATTAATAATTGATTATTTTACATTACACAAAAATTAAAGTTTTAAAAGTCGA